CCTTGATGGGCAATAAGGCACAATCCCCACATGGGCCTAGGTGGCATATTTCAGGACAAACATGGTTTCCACAACTAAGTTTTTTCTCACAACATGAACTGCAAGAAAAGATGCCATTTTCTACTCTGATTTCTCCCTTCACAGCCATGTCACCGCAAAGAACAACCTCAGTCTTCTTTTTGCAGAAACAAGAAGCATTAACAAGAACTTGACAATGGTCACAAGGACCAACATGGCAAATTTGTTCACACTGGTGGCGACCACAAGCAAGAAGCTTGTCACACCGTTGTCCACAGGTAAGAACAGACTTCCTATCAGAGCATCTTGTGGTAATCACATTCTTTCCACACGGACAGCTTCGTGAGGGAGCAAATGCCTTACAAGGAGGACATGGTCCAGGATGGCACTGCAGGACACAATGATGAGGGCAAAGATCTTTCTTGCTCATGCCAGAACCAGGAACTTCCTTCTCCAGTGGCTTCCCACAAGGCTCCCCACAAGAATGTGGTGTTAAATACAAATCGGACGGCGGGTCCTGCCTTTTCCCACAAAAGCAAATATAGTGGATATCCTTAGAAGAGGTGAGCTGAACATATTGACAACCAGGGCACCGCCAATTAAACCCTTGATTCTTCTCAGCTGATAAGTCAACTGATGTAGGAGCCCTGGCCCATTTCTTGATACAATTCAAGTGAAAGATTGAGTAACAGCTAGAACAAGACCAAATTGATGCAGATCTGCGAACCATATCATAACAAATCATGCACTCAACTGTTCCTTTCAAGAGCTTCTCCTGAATTTCTTGTACAAGTTGAGGCAAGTTAGGGTCCTTCAACTGTTTACTTTCATTGTTATGATCTGGCTCCTTCACCTTTTCTGCCTTGTTCCTTTCACCATTATCCTTATCCCTTCCCGTTCCCCTATCTCTCCTTTGGTTTGCATATTGAACCACATTCCTTCGAGGACCTGTATAGTTCCTACTCTGATACACTTGTGGAACCGATCTATCATCCAATTCCCTGCCAATCCCAACTGAGCTCAAATTATCAACAGCTACAGCAGGGCTCTCCACAGTGGCAGTAGGGGCAGTGGTGGAGGAGGAACCACGGGGAACCCACTCCTGTCTAGCAGTTTGACCAGGATAGTTTCTACCCCTGCGGCTATTATCTGACCGGTTACTTTGGACTGAAAAGTTCATATTCTGATCCAAAAACTCCGAACACCCTATATCACTCCCCAAAGCGAGTCTGCTTCTCGAATCCAGAACCCTAGCCTCAATCCTCTGTAAACCATACATGGATATGAAGGAATCTTCAAAAGAAATTCAAATCGGCAACCAATTTTAATTAATCGGGTTTTAGAAAAAAAAAAAAAAAAAAAAAAAAAAACATAAAACTCCCTGTCAAAGCGGCTGGCAGGGCAGGCTAAAAAGCCCATCAATAATACGGGCCTAAGGAGGACCAGACCAGCCCGGCCCAAAGGGTTAGGTGGGCCCGCGAAAACATTAAGTTTGTTATTTTTAAAAATTTGTAAAAAAAATATGTAAATGCTAAAATTATTTTAAAGAAAATTGCTAACCAATGTATAAATTATCAAGGCAACAACTCTATCCAGAACACATTGCCAAAAGTCCCCATTTACACATATTTAAAGAAAATTGCTAACCAATATATAAATTAGCAAGGAGCTAAGTGGGCTGCATAGGGGAATTACCACCCAACTCCAAAATTAAATTTCTTAAAACAATACATCAATCTCAAACCCTAATTCAATTCCAACACAATCTATCAAGCATACTTTCGAATCAAACATTCATTTCCAAACAAATACATACATCTACAACCACAATCGCAGAGTAAAGAAAGAAATGAAGCAACTAGGGGTGGTTTTTTTTTTTTTTTTTTTTTTTTTTCCCGGTTTGTTCAGTTTTGAAAAAATGAAACCATTCGGTTTAAATTCATAGTTCGGTTTGGTTTGAAAAAGTTCGGTTTCGGCTCGGTTTGGACTTCAGTTCGGGTTGAGAATCCCAACTTCCAAAAAAAAATTCTTTTTATTTTTCAAGTTTTGATCACATAATTATATGCTCTCAGCATTACTACTTCATAATCCACAGTTTCAGTTCACAGAAACATAACCAGAAGGAAGAAACAGTATAATACTCACATCTTTTCTGTTTAGTGTCTTGAAATGTTTTTACTTCAAATCATTTATAGAGACTCAATCACGCACAAAGTTTTCATCATCTCAAAATTTCAATACTACAAGCAAAGAAAACTAAGCAAATAAAAAGGTAGAGAGAATTTGAATAACTAAATGCACGGATGGATAGATAGAGAACAACATTCACCCTCAATTTGTGCTAAAAAGAAAAGGAAAAGTTTTTTTTTAATGAACTCATTGGAACTTGTTCATAAACTGCCATATAGGTTCTGGATTGTTAAGAAAAATGTACAATTTTTATGGATACAACTAGAAAGTTTAAAGCAGGAAGCTAATCAGGGATAAGTATGTAACTAAGCCTACATTCAAATTGTATCAGATAGTCAAAACTAAAGTGATAACTTGAAAAGAAGCTCAATAATAATAGTAAGCATTAGAAATAGGAGAAGGAAAAAAAAAAATAAAAAATCAAACACCACCAAAAAATAAAAAATACTTATTTTCTAACACAAAACACAGAGGTCAATTTAAATGTATTAGATTTCCTTTTCTTTTCTTCTTCTTCTTTTTGTTTTTTTTTTGTTTTTTTTTTTTTTTGTTTTTTGTTTTTTGTTTTTTTTTTTGTTTTTTGTTTTTTTTTTTGTTTTTGTTTTGTTTTGTTTTTGTTTTTGTTTTTTTTTTTTTGTTTTTTTTGTAATTCTTCTTCTCTGTTTAATATTGTCTATGAGGGGTAATATCAGCAAGGTGCAAGTCTTTAATTACACAGCATAAAACCAAACACCACATATGCAAGTTATGTTTTTTGCAGTGTTTAGACGCTTAACCGATTATCTGAAATGGGAATCGTTCACATTGCAAATTGGAAATTGAAGAATCAAGACAACATTGAACATTAAACTCATTAAAGCATTTCCCTTTGACCCTTTCATCCATCCAGAATATATCCAACAAGAAACTGAGACACAAAATTAGAAAATGGAGCCTAAGAAACACAAACACCTACCTTGAATTTGGAAGTGACCAGAGGCGCAGGGGAGGCGGAGTCCTCGTCGGCGGCTGTCGCAGGGGATGCGAAGTTCTCGCCGGCGGCTGTCGCAGGGGATGCGAAGTTCTCGCCGACGGCTGTCGCATCGGAGTCAGAGGCCGGATTCCTCGTAGGCGGAAACAGTCGTCGTTGTCCACTGCTCGCAAGGCAGACCGTCGTCGGCGATTCGCCGGAGTGGAACCGAGGATGCAGATTGCTAGATTAGTTTTAGATTTTTAGGTTATTATACATTATATATTATATATTACTCCGTATATATTACTCCGTATATATTACTAGTCTTTTGTATGCGCGATGCGCAAAAATATATGTCCAATATTTATATTTTTAAAAATAATTAACAAATCCTTACTAATTAAAATCTATATGAAGTCAAATTTATTTATTATAATAACTCAATATATAATGTCTACAAATAGAAAATATATGGTGGATGCATGTGCATGTTAACAATAATGGAAAAGATAATGGAAGTTATAACGGTAGGGGTATTTTTGTCTAAAAAATTATATAGTACAACTCTAAAAGCACAATGTACAAAATTATTAGCATTAAAAACATGAACATAAATGAGGGATATAACTTTGATTGAGACTTATTATGTTTTTAGATATATTTATATTTATATTTATATTTATACATATTAAAAAAAAAAAAAGCAAAAACAAAAACCAAACTATTTTCGATTCGGTTTTTTTTTTTTTTTTTTTTTTTTTTTTTAAGTTATTATATTGTAGTATTTGTTTATCTATACTTTCTCAACCTGTTAAAATACAAAAAGTCAACACCGCCTTCTCAACCTGTTGAAACACAAAAAGTCAACATCGTCTCTCGATCTCATAACCTCCCATATGGAAGAGTGCCATTTGAGAACAAGGTTAATCGTTCGGTTTAGTTAAAATCTATACGGATTGGATTTTAGCACTAAACCGAAATAAAACGGAACCGTAGCGTAAACCCCTTCTTATAACCCTAATCGGTAAAAGATGGATCACAATTAGACAAACCAACTTAGGTTGTTTATAGTTGACCGGTTCAATTTAAGAAAGTCAATAACACGCTTCCACTTAGATCATAATTGAAAGTTACAGACTTTTCCTATACAAGAAATGAGTCAATAGTTCCCTATCATTCAAGAAGTGAAGGGTTATAATTTTCAAAAGAGTTAATATCCAAAATGGTCCCTCGACTATGTCATAATTACCAATTTGGTCCTCAACTACTATTCTTACCCAATTAAGTCCTCAACTATGTAACTTTTACTCAATTAAGTCCTCAACTATACAATTCTTACCCAATTTAGTCCTCAACTATACAATTCTTACCCAATTTAGTCCTCTGTATTAATTTGACTGTTTATTGACTGTCAAAAGTCGGGATAAAATTATAATTTTACAAGATTTCTCCTTCCTCTCCATTTAGCAGCGCCAAACCATGCAGCAATACACTCCGATCAGATTTCGATCGTCAAAAAATCGTTGGAAATCAAATTCATGGGCTATCCGATGCATAACCACTACTTCGATACTGACAGGTTTAGAACCCAACCGGAGCTTATTGCTACATGGTTTGGCGCTGCTAAATGAGGAGGAAGGAGAAAACTTGTAAAATTACAACTTTATTTTCACTTTTGACAGTCAACAAACAATCAAATTGACAAAGGACTAAATTGTGTAAAAATTATATAGTTGAGGACTTAATTGGGTAAGAATGATAGTCAAAGACCAAATTGGTAATTACGACATAGTCGAGGGACTATTTTGGGTATTAACTCTTTTCAAAAAAAAAAAAAAAAAAAAAAAAAGTGAAGGGTTATACATTTGTTCAAAAGTTTTGTACAGAATAACTTACAATCATTTCCCAAACCAAATAACATATGAATCCTAGGAAGATGTACATGTTTTCTCAGACAACCTTTGACTGCACTTTAGGTGAAAATGTTTGCAAAACAGACAATATATACTGCTGTAGCCTTTTGGTCAGACTGGGGTTAGGTTTCTGTATGCTACTTATTAACCATTGATAATCAGACACTGCCTTGTCCGACAATGGCTCCAGAAATTCACATTTCGTCAGGATGTCGGGGGGAGGGACACCAGCTACGAGGTTTGTTTCGAGCTTAGGCTTGCCTCTTTCGCGATCTTCAGAGACCTCTATCGGGGCTTTGAGTGCATATGGAGTTGCGCCCGGGATGACCTCGTCCTTGAATGGTGATTCTCGTTCAGCTTGCAGACAGAATTCTATCCACTGATGTAGTAGCGGCGAAGGCCCTCTGACTCTCCCCCCGATTTGATCAGATGCAATTCTTGTGGCAGCCGGTATTGCCTAAATCACGAATTTTAACATGTTTCTTGGTGAATATTAGGATCAAAGTTCAGTTTAATATAAAGGAAAGTTCTTGGATTGACCGGATGTATTTTTTTTAGGTGACGAGAAAAACCCGTAATCACTACTGGAAGGTCTGCGGTAAAAACCCCACTTTATAACCCTAGCCGACAAGCGACCACAAGGAGGTAAACCAGCCTAGGTTGCCCATAGCTGACTGGTGCAAACCAAGAAAGCCAATAGGCCGCTCCCGCTAGGAGTCAAACTTGTAACTTTGTGGTTACCAAGTCAACAATCTGACCAACTTCGCTAGGGTTGCCCCCAAGATAGTATTTTTTTTTTTTTTGGTTCAGACCACGAGGTGACCTAAGCAGGCCCTAACTGTAGGAGGCACCTTTAAGCCCGTACCATACTCAGACTAATCCCCAAAAATCGATTCGGAACATACCCAAAAATCTGCCCATAGACTTGCACCGGATTTTGGAACAATAACTGCAACGTTTGACATCCGCTTTGCAGCCGGAAGAATGTCGGTACTCCATCCAACAGCTATCCATACATCTTCCACTCCAAAGGCTTTAAGATAGTTTTGACTGTCAAATAGCCGAACCTGCAAACACATACTATGATGAAAAAATAACCCCAAAAAAAAAAAAAAAAAAGTTGCACCAAGAACTATATGAAATATGATAAGCCTCGTCCATCTTGTCTCATCTGTTACCTGTTTAACTAGCGATGCAAGATTCTGCTGCACGGCATTTCGCCCACCAGTAACTTCAGACTCAAAATCTTTCGTGTTATAAGATGCCCCCATATACTTCAAAACTGCACCAACAATTTCTCTCGGTGAATCGACCATTGAAATCCTTCCCGCGAGCTCAGGCCGCCATAAATCATCCCAGTCCTGTAATTTGATTTACAGACATTTAGCCAGCTAACTATAACGCATTTTGCAGATCAGTTTTTGCAAAGTAAGAGAATATACCATTATTAACACGCATCGAATATCGAATCTTTTAGAAAATATTTACGACCCTAGATAAATAGAAACCTTAAGATAACTTGCCTTAATAGGAGCCAAGTTACGCTTACGAAATTCTCTCTTCTTATAAGCTATCACGATGCTTCCCCATCGGAAGGGCGCAGACCATATCCTCCCTTGAGAATCCAGTTTCCCTTCAGAACTCCTGCGCAAATATACCTGACATTATTTAAGTCAAAGGGAGCTTCAAAGGGGTCAGAACGAAAAACGCATTGCAACAATTAATTGAAATGAAATTTGTAAAAGAAAATGCAAGCCCAAAAAGCGCCTTCTGGTAGTGATTGTGGGTTTCCCTCTGATGTGGCACAGGGCAATTAAGAACAAAAAAAGTTTTTTTTTTTGAATGCTATTGACTCTGTTACAATGCAGTATCTGTTCATAACTACTTTCTCAACCTACTGAAGCACAAAGAGTCAATACTGCCTCCACTGAGGCCCGAACCCACAACCTCTCATATGGGAGAGCAACTTGGTGCCACTAGACCACAAGGTCCTTATAAAGTAGCTGAAATAATTGGGAACGCATTTTTCATCTTTGTCAAATCGTTTTTACGAGTCCAATGGCAGATAAAAGTCTATGCAAATACTGTCCCTTATTATACAAACTAAAGTACTCTCACCTTCCATTTGTCACTTAATCCATTAAACCAGTCTTGGTCTTCTACCCCTTGCATTGGCTCGATTAAGCCATTCTTAATGGCAAAACTAAGCCACGCATCGCCAAGAGCAATAACATCGGCCGCTGCAGCAGATTTTGGATTGAGAACTCCTTTCTCAAATGCTGTAGAAAGTTCACGAAAGATATCCTGAAGGCTACGGCGAAACTCAGGGCGTACTTGAGCTCTCTTTCCTTGAGAACGTATAAAATCCTACATGTTTCAAAGAGTAGAGCATTGTTAACAAAATTAAATTTTTTAAAAGAAAAAGAAAAAAAAATCATAGCTACCATTCCTTCAATTTATACTTTTTTACTGAAAGCTTCCTAAGGACCCTGATATAGGCCAAAAGCAAAGTGGGATCAAAGTAACTTCTATTAATAAAAAATTAAAAGCTACATATCATACCTTGATCCATACGGGAGGAAATGAGTTGTTGAAGGAAACAATTCTTAGAGGAACCGTTAAAGCATATGTCTTTGCCTTCCATTTCTCGAATTCTGCTTGGAGTTCTTCATCATCAAATTCAACAACTTTTTTTGTTTGCCCCCCTTCATCATTCTCTACGTTATTAAAAAAAAAAAAAAAAGCCACTTGAACCATCACATTTGTGAATTTTTACTGTAAAATGGTACAAGGTGGACATACTACATACCCTGTTTGGTAAAATTGTTAGCTTATCAGTCAATTTTGGCTTGTTTGACCACTATTAGCTGTTTGACTTGGTTAAACAACCAATATGAATGTTTGATTAATTAGCTTTTTGTGACAACTTATTGCTCCAAAACACAAATTCAAAAAGCTACTCAAAGCAGCTTTTTCGATCAGCTTTTTGAGAAAGTCATTTTGTATGTAATCAGCTATAAGCTAACAACTAATTTACCAAACATCTTTCTACAATCAACTAATGTTATCAACTATTCAAATCCACTAACCCAATCAGCTAACAACTATTTACCAAAACCCCCATAAACTACTGTTCTTTGTTGGCTTGCTTTGCTGTATCATAATGGCAAGTAACAATAGTCCAGTCTCTTATAAGCACTACTCAAAAAATAGTGCACTTTCTAGTGTTTCTAGCATTCAAATTACATAGGGAACTGTTGTGTATGTCACATATATGTGTAGGATCATATTTAAGGTTGCATATAAATATGATGTTCTGCCATCACAATTAATGAAAGATAACTTTGCTATCCTGGATGACATTGGCGAACTAAGTAAATCTTGTATTCTTTATTTTTCTGCCATTGTTTTGGATTCTTGTGCTAGTTTATCACAACAGGAACCAAAATTACTAGCATGGTACCAGTACATTTAGCTGAGAAAAAGTAGCAATCTTTGCAAGCAAAATTAAAATATCTCCAGCACCCTTAATTCAAAGGCATTCACAGAGCACAAAAATTGCAATTTTATAATTCTTAACAAAAAGAGGGGGCAGGGGAGGGGAGGGGGGGATTCTACCTTGGGGTTTAGAGTCCTGAGTCTGATCCTCGGATGAAGCGACAGGGGGAGCAACGGCGGCGCGAGCGGAGGCCGAGAAGGAGTGAAGGGCGAAACCAAGACTGAGTAAAAGGACAGTGGAGGCGGCGAGTTGCCGGAAAATGTCGCCGGGTGTCACCACCCTTGCCGGCGGTTTTAAGTTGCATTGAACTGGAGTGCTGAAAGCCTTAGTGCAGAGGTTTAATCTTTTGCTGAAACGCAGATGGTGGGAATTGCGGAGGGAGAGCAGCCTGAGAATTCGGCTATCACCGCCGTTTGGGTAATGGCGGAGTAGATTGGGCGCGGCCGCGGGTGAGAGTGAGAGTACCATTTTTAAGAGAGAGAATGGCCACCAAATTCTTCATCTACAAAAATGAAGAATTTTTAAAGCATTAACAAAATTCGTTTTTTTTTTTCAAGAATTCATTATTTCAACAATATTATTATTATTATTAGATAGAATTTATTTTTTGTCCTAGTTTTATGTGGCTGGGATAATTTTTGTCCTTTAGTCATTTTGGACACTGTGACATGCACAATTTTAGTTTTCCGTTTATAATTTGGTTAGTTGATTGTTTGAGAAGAGGATATTTCTGTCAATTCAGTCACAATACGTCTGGGATCACAACAATTCTTCATATTAAAAAAAGACTATATTGCAAGAGCTAAAAGTCAATATAAAAAATAAATTACATTGTATGCAAATAATAAAATGTACAAGAAAACTTTGATTTATGAAAAAGAATACAATCACTACCCAAACGTGAGACTCTCTAAATGAAGTCCACCTTATAATTGTAACCACAAAAAAAAAAAAAAAAGATTACAAGAAAATAAATACTTAAATACCCGAAAAAGTCAAAAGCAACTCTCACAGAAAATCGAATTTGAAATCCTCCCATGTACAAGAAAATTGATGGTGCAATTTCTAAGATGTCTGTACAATTGAGAAATTTACAAAAATAGACATACAACAACAAAAGCATTGTATTTCAACACTGGGTATTTTATAGGGAAGACTCCTCTTTGGCTAATTTGATGGCAGGGGTTTCTTCTGTCCTTTCCACATAAGCTGAGGGAAACCAGCCAGCTTTGCCATTGCATTCTCCTTCAGACCATCCATTAGGAGCTACCTGTTAGTCCCAAGTGAACCAAAATACGAGGTTATTCTCGCTAAAACTCATTTCACCGATCATCATATCTAACAGTGTCACTTAAGCATAGCAAAAATGTCAGTGTTGCAAAAATCGCGCCTAGGCGCTAGGCGGTCGGCCTCATAGGCGCCTTAGGCGCCCGACTAGGCATTCCAGGCACCCGCCTAGGCATTCTAGGCGCCCTAGGCGGTCCCCAGGCGCCCGACTAGGCATTCCAGGCACCCGCCTAGGCATTCTAGGCGGTCCCCAGGCGCCTAGCGATTTTTTCAACATTGGAAAATGTTATGCCATCGAGGGTGAACGGGTGATGTGCATGAAATGAAAGTTCCGGAGTTCAACAAAACCGAGCAAATTATGGGATTTCTTCCAAGCAACGGAAAAAGAATGGCTTTTATATCTGCGAACCAACTAATAGGCGCTACCTATTAGTCCCAAGTGGACCAAAAACTCGAGGTTATTCTGGCTAAAACTCATTTCACCAATCATCATATCTAACATATAGGGTATGTATTGAATATAGCACAAAGGGAGTGAACGTATTTTATATAATCGAAGTGTATATAGTGGCGCTAAGTACCTGACGGACGACAACATAACCATCAACTTCAAGACTTAGTTCACCATCAGCTTGGGCATCAAACGAGTGTAAAACCTTGCAGGGGAAAACAAGTAAAGAAGCGTAAAAGGTAGGAAAGAGAAAGGAAATTAAGACTTGAGAGGAAACGTGAATGGTTTTTCCTTACCTTTGCAATAAAATAATCGCGATTTTTAACATCACCTCGTTGATGCGAAGATCTATTTGAAGTCATTTCATGTGCCTCTCTTTGTGGAGTCGATGATGATTGTAGTACAGACTCGTTTAATTGTTCTTCTACAACCATCTACTCTAGCAATGTAGTGTAGTATGCCGGTTATAATCTTTTTTTTTTTTTGAATTGAATGAAAAATAGTAATAATAATAATAACACCGAGTAAAACTCGAGAAAATGTTGCTAAGAAACTATTGAATAAAACTCGAGAAAATGTATACAAACCTCGGAATGTAGCTTCTCCAATAGAGCAATGACACTTCGGTGATAAGACCTTTCAGCATCCACCTGCCAGCTGAAACTAATTTAAGATACGATAATGACACCGATTTTTCAACTCAGAAGCAATGCCCCGGGGGATGAATATTCACCGTACTTGTGTAGGTAACAACAGATAAATACGGAGTAACTATTTGGCACAACTATCTTACAAAAAATAGTTCATCGCTCATTTGTCCGGGGGGTACTTTAACTACACAAATGCTAGTTTCACGTGGCTTGCAAAGTTTGTATTAAAACTTTTTCTTTTTTGGTCAAACCACGAGGTGGTCTAAGCAGGCCAGGAGGCACCTTTAAGCCCGTACATACTCAAACTAATCCCCGTTTCACCCGGCCAGACCAATTAAGGGGCAAAGTGCTAGCCAGATTAGTTTTTCCATACGAGAGGGGGTTCAAACTCCCGACCTCTCTTAAGGGACGAGAGTGCACAGCCACCCACACCAACTAAGCTGGTTAAGTTTGTACTAAAACTTTAAAGCAAAAGGAAATACCATCGTGAGAAGCTTCTTGTAAGTTGTCTGCTGCTGCTCCTCCTCTACATCAAGCATGGCCTCCGCAGCTTCCTTTCCAAGAACCAACATGGCGGATTTAAGATCGGTCAATCTCGCTTCGGCGTTTTTAAGCTTTACTAAACTCTCGGGAGAAGCATCTCTAAACTTTGATTGCCGTCTTATTACTTCAGAAGCCTGAGAAAGAAACGGGGAATTGAAGCAGCATATAATTACCAAGTTTATGACCCCAAAGACGGTGTGCAGGTTTTCAGCCGAATATTACCTGGGTTTCAAGCTCCTGGCGCATTTTATCATAACGGTGAGTCAAATGACGAGCATCCTCTAAAGGAGCGCCATTTATTAATGCACGGAGCGGCTCAGAAACCTATTGGTAGATTTAAGTGTAATACAAATGCAAGGAATTCAGATTTCAGAAAATTGATGTTTAAGCATTTTTTTTTCCAACGATGATAGAAAGTAAATCCTTACACTAAATTGATGTTATGACAGTTCAAAGGAAAATTGTGAAGCACAACATTTCTAGTCTATTGCTATTTGTTCCTTTTTATAGTTTGTCCAAGAGGAAGATGCGGCCTTGTTTGGTAAAATAATTAGCCAATCAGCCATTTTTGGCTTATTTGACCACTATTAGCTGTTTGACTTGGTTAAACAATCAATATGAGTGTTTGATTAATTAGCATTTTGGAGCAATAAAATGCTAAAATTCAAAAAGCTGGTCAAAGTAGCTTTTTTGATCAGCTTTTTGAGAAAGTCATTTTGTATGTAATCAACTAATAGCTAACAGCTAATTTACCAAACACTTTTCTACAATCAGCTAATGCTATCAACTACTCAAACCCACTAACCCAATCAGCTAACAGCCATTTACCAAACAATCGGGATAGTTTTTGACAGGGAAAACTCTTGCCTAGCCTAGTCCCTCAAGAATTGAATTGTGAAATAGAGAGAACCGGTAAAGAAGTGAATTCCGGATCATATTTATCACATGAGAAACCATGGGAGATAACGACTAACGAGTAGTCACTAGTCTTAGACGAGCCAAGATATAACCTGCTTTCCAAGAATCCCGATCATCGTTTCCCTTTGGTCTTCCATTGCGGCATGTGAAGTGCCAAAGATTGAAGCAGCCCTTGCAAGGGGAGGAGCATCACTTGCATTCTCGATCCCGTATTTGCAACAATCCTCAGCCAACTTTCTAGCTACATAGTTCGAGTTGAAACTTTCATATCCACGCCATATAATTCAAGCAAGGTAAGATACGGCAATAAATCCACGCACCTATTTGCATTTGCTTTTTGTTGGTCGCAATATATCCTTCTACGCCGCGAACAATATCCTTCTGAAAGTGCTGTGGAACATAATAACACGGATATAATTATATAAAACCTTCTTCAAACATTAGCTCTAAGTAGATTGAAGTTGAGTAAGAACATCCATTTATCAGATAAAAATTGGGAGAGAAAATCACTAGCCTCGACCAACATTACCTTTGCGGCCCTGGTGGATCTGTATAAATTCTGAAGTTTTTGATGACATTGCAGTTCAGCTTCATCCACCATCACGGCTTCATGGCCCAATTGTCCCAAGTGCCTCAGAATTGTCTAGCAAAAGAAAGGAACACTGAGCGGCAGAGACATCAAAAGAATCGTCATAGACTATTAGAATCCAAGTGAAGTATATATGCAGCACGCTATTAAATAAATTCAATAATTTCATTTTCCAAACATGTAAATTCATCTTCTTTTATGTTCGGCTAATCTTCCCAATTCCAAGCAGCATTTGAAATAAATAGCCACCGGAACTTGGGGTACACTAGCTCTTCTAAAGTACTGGCAAACAAGAACTCGAGATTGCAAAAATGGCCTAATCTGGACTGGGATTCAAATCATCAAAGCGTCTCACATTGAGACATCATTGGGTGACAAGGCAAACAACTAATCAAATCAATGTAGGACAGGTCCCAAATCCTAAGCTTGGCCAATGCTTACCTAAAATATCAAGAAGGCATATATATATTCACATTTTTACCCACAAAAGGCGAAATTCCCTAACTCAAGCCCCACATCCCAGCTGACAGGATGGAGTATATACTATTTTTTACTTGAATTTGTCATATATTCTGAGTATCAATTTCTCCAAAACAATTCTCCTAATATAAATAAATCAACATTCATATAACAGTCCAAAGTGCTCCATTCAAGGATTTTACAATCACAGACATTCCAAAGAAAAAAAAAAAAAAAAAAAAAAAAAAAAAAAAAAAAAAAAAAAAAAAAAAAAAGCCAGAAATCTGCAAAGGGGTTCCCAGAATCGAATCAAAACTCAGATTGAACGCACTTTCAGGAAAGAAACCGGCACCCCAAATCACAAAATTGAACAAACACTTAAAAATCCCAGAAAAGTTTCGATTTTTACTAGGAATACATGAATACCTGCTGTTGCTTGGCAACTTGCTCCCTGAGTTTAGTTGCCTGCTTCTTAATAGCCTCCATTCTCCCCTGCAAAATTCTTGCTTGCTAGGAATATCAGCCCCTCAATCAAAGATGAAAAGAAAGACAAGAGCCAAATCAGGGTGTGAGGATAGGCATTAAAGGAAATTGAAAAGGCGCTTTTACAGATGTGAAATCTGATGAGGGGTTTGGGGTGGGACAGGTAAAGTTAGGTACTGCTGGAAAATTCTAAAGTATTATGGAAAAGTACACAGAAAGGCCTTGAAGAGATGAAGCTGTTCTTGTCTGTAGCGCATTTCGGCTATGGTGAATGATGATGATTCTTCGTTTTTAATGAACTGCCCAGTTGGACATATATACATGGACTACTTTTTTTTTAATAGAGATATATATTTTTAGTCCCCAATTATTAACCCAAATTATTTTTTTGTTGCTATAATAATATGTTGCAGTTTTTTAAAGGAATTCCCTTGACATTTTACAAATGTGTGATTCCTACACGAATTAATTCCACTTTTGTTCCCACGATTTTTCTTTTAGTGTATAAGTTTAATATTCTTTTAAAAAATAAAGGCTAATTCATTAATCATAAGCAGAAATGTTACAATACAAATCGTTAGAATGGTAATGTATTCTTTATCGTCATACATAGAAAAAAATTTCCTAACAATTCTATAAAAAACTTAAATCGCAAACTGTTTTACAAATTTGAAGCCGAAGTTGTTGGATGAACTTGGTGCTTATTCACAAATCTGGTCAACACATAGCCAAGCCTGGTGTGACCATTTTATCATTCCACGCTTATGAGGAGAACTCGGCAAAGAGATGAGAGGGAAACACTTGCCAGAGAGACGAGAGAAAACAAACTAGACAAATGAACAAAGGGATAACGTAGAACCAAAAGAAAACAAAATAAATGGAAAAAGAAATAAATGGAAAAAGATGATAAAAAAACCTGTCAGATCTGGAGAGTCTCTGAAGTCTTCCCTGAAAAATGATCGGAGATGATCTGAGATCTAACACTTATTCCTAAAACAGCCAGAGGATGGAGTCTACTAATGGCACCGCGGACTCCACCCTCCATCAGAGCGTCGGCCGGCAACACCAACAGAGCAATAGTATTGGAGCGGACGGTTAGCCGAAAGATGGTTTACTTATTGGGAGCGGACGGAAATGGAGAGAAAGCGGTTCCTTGTATTAAGTTTTAAAATTTTGATGCTTAACTTTGTTAATTTTATCAGTTTTGGTCATTTTCGACCAAATTGACAACGAAATGTTGCCGGATTTTATATTTTTATGAGTAAAATCGTCATTCCAATGAAACATCTTCCATATCTAAACAAAATCACTGTAAAAGCATATCTATAGGTGTTTAATTGATGAGAATAATGGGAAAGGCGGGCATACACTAGACACAGATCTATAGGATTTATAGCTTCGACGATGGACAAAGTCTTCTTTTCTCTTAATATGATTTTTCTTTTGTTTAGATATTGAAGATATTTCCTTGCGATGACAATTTTGTCCCAAAAATATAAAATCCGACAATATTTCGCCGTTCATTTGGCGGGAAGGACAAAAACTGATAAAAATAACAAAGTTAGGCACCAAATTTAAAAAAAAAAAAAAAAAAAAAAAGGTGTGCACCAAAAATGATAAGGCTTCAAAAGTCATGGAAACAAAAGTGAAATTAATTCTACCTACATCTACAAATTTAATAAGAGCCAAATTTAATATGTGGCAGTTTTTGAAAGAAATTTCGCTTTTTTTTTTTTGGAATATTATTATAAATTTGAAAAGAAATTAAGTTCAATACTATATTGGTATATATATTACTATATTAGTAGATATATTACTATATTATTTCAATAAAAAAGAAAAATTCTAGAATGATTTTTTCATTTATTATTTGAGATGAAAATATTATATATGGTAAATATTTATGTGTCGTTGATTAGTTTGACATATATATATATATATATATATATATATATATATATATATATATATACTCCGTACTTAATAAGAGCCAAATTTAATATGTGACAGCTTTTGAAAGGAATTCCTCTTAGTTTTTGGAATATTATTATAAATTTGAAAAGAAATCAAGTTCAATACTATATTGGGAGATATATTACTATATTAGTAGATATATTACTATATTAGGCCGGTAAAAAAAGAAAAATTCTAGAATGATTTTTACAGTTGTTATTTGAGATGACAATATTATTAGTTTTTGCACACTTGTAATCATTTTAATGACTTTTTCTATTGTTAGTAATGGCAGTTTTGTCATTTCATTTTTTTTTTGTTTTTTTTTTATTTTTTTTTTAATTTTTTTTTGTTTCAGCCGATTTAATTGGTTTAGAATTTTAAATAACCTCTGATTTTTAGTAATCATATTTTTCAATCGATTTTTAGTACAGTCTTAAGCCAATTAAACCGGTTGAAACATGAAAAAAATAATAACAAATGAAAAGTATGAATAGACAAAAATGCCCTTACTTGATAGTTTGGGATGTTAAATGGCAAAAATAATAGTCTGTGACTAAATTTGAAATTGACACCATAGACATGGGACCTCTTGTGGAATTAACTCTAAATATATATTATGAATATGTATTTAATATGAACTTTGGTCATTTAATTAGAATTACGCATTGGGCATTGATTAAATGGTACACCTAATTTACAGTTCAACACAAATGAAAAACAATGCTTATTATCATTGTCTTTTGGGGGAATGCTGATTTGGTTATGTGTTTTGAAGGTGCAATGTGTCATGACACTAAAATTGCAGTGAAGCACACTAGGAGACTAAATGAAATCAATAATTCATTATGGTGGAAGTGACAAGAAGAAGAAGCATGAATTACACCAATTAATAGGATTTTGCGTTGCAAAAAGTATACTTCAGTACTATCCAGTGAGGGTGTTTATTCTCTAAAACTGCAATTGCACCAATTACTTTTATGAAAAATTATACCACAATTCATAGTTATACATTATTGAAATATTTATTTTTATAAAAAAAATTGATAATCTTACATTGATATACGACAAGATACAAATGATACATTAATAAATTATAAAACATTAATTTAAAAATATATGTTGAACATTGGATTGTTTGCGCAGTATGTGTGTGTGGGCCTGTGGGGTAACTAGTATAAGGATTAGGACATTAGAATTGAACCATCCAAAGGTTGTTGAAGTTGAAAGAACGGTTTTATTAGGCTAGAGAAATTAAAGCGTCACTCACAACGTCATTCTTGAAAATACTCTCACGGACATACTTTAATTTAGGTATAATAATTCATTAATTTGACACAGATAAGAATAATGTCTCAAAATGGGGTTAAAATAAATTTAATAATTATACTATATTTAATGAGTAGTAATTAATTGGGTCCGTCCATAATTATATTATCGATCGAGTAATGCAAGCCGTTTTTTTTTTTTTCCGAATATTATAAATTTGAAAAGAAATTAAGTTCAATACTATATTGGTAGATATATTACTATATTAATAGATATATTACTATATTAGGTCGGTAAAAAAATGAAAAATTCTAGAATAATTTTTACATTTATTATTTGAGATCACAATTATAATAATATAAATATTATGTGTCTTTAATTAGTTTGATGTATATGCATGAGATTATTGAATTTGCCAACCGATATTAACTAATCGGATAAAATTATACTCCAAATTTAATATAATTTAATACAAAAAAAAAAGTGATAAAAACATTTTTTTTTTTAAGTTGATGTCGTAAAAAATAAAAAATGATATGCCTCATAAGTCATAAGGGGCCGGTGACCGAGTGTGAGGAGCATATAATTCTTGTATTAGATGGCCATGTGTAATGCAAGACGTTTTTTTTGTTTTTTGTTTTTTTTTTTTGAATATTATAAATTTGAAAATATTGGTAGATATGTTACTATATTAGTAGATATATTACTATATAAGGTCGGTAAAAATGAAAAGTTCTAGAATGCTTTTTTACATTTACTATATTGGTAGATATGTTACTATATTAGTAGATATATTACTATATTAGGTCGGTAAAAATGAAATGTTCTAGAATGCTTTTTAAATTTATTATGTGTCGTTAATTAGTTTGACGTATATGCATAAGATTGAATTTGCCAACCGATATTAAACTAATCGGATAAAATTATACTCCAAATATTAAATATAATTTAATACCAAAAAAAAAGTGATACAAACATTTTTTTTTTTAAGTTGATGTGTCGTCAAAAAAAAAAAAAAAAAAGCTTCATAAAGGGTGACCGAGTGTGAAGAGCATATAATTATTGTATTAGAAGGTCACGAGTAATGCAAGACGTTGTTTTTTTTTTTTTTTTTTTTTTTTTTTTTGTTTTTTTTTGGAATATTATAAATTTGAAAAGAAATTAAGTTCAATACTATATTAGTTAGCGAGAGTAATAATAGAAGTCCATATAATATTTTTCCACAACAAAATATTTGAATCAATATCAATATATATATATATATATATATATATATATATATATATATATATATATATATGATATATATTTTTTTTTCTTTCATTCTTTCTTTATATATAGACACGCGCACACACAAATAGGGTGTCAAGGTGGACTAAAGCGCGCAGGCCAGTCCCAAACTGCCCCGCTGTGGGTTGGGTTAGGGCCAAGAGTTTTTACCTTGAAAATGCAGGCCTCGCGGACTTGACCCGTGTGGATTGGCGGACTACGAAGCCCACGAGCTTTTCAATCAATCGTTATACCGTGCATCAGGGCGCACATAGCAATGTGCGCCCCACGCCTCCCAAAGCGACGTCGTTTTGTATTCTGTTATAAAATTATGTATTTTCACTTTTCAGGTATAAAATTATGTACATTCGAAACAGGGATTTTTTGTTTTGTTTTGTTTTTTTTTTTTTTAATTTTTAAAAGATTATGTGTTTTCAGGTATAAAATTCTGTGTTTTCTGTTATACAATTCTGTACATTCGAAATATGAAATTTTTTTTTAACAGCAAACACGCGAAAAGGTCAAAACGATGTCGTTTTGAGCCAGGGCGCACAATGCACCGTGCGCCATGGTGCATAGTATAATTTGCCCTTTTTAATGGAATGTTATGTTGTGGAAGCCCACATTGCAAGGTGGGGACGATTCAAGATTCATAATTTTTATACTGTAGATTCGTAATTTTTAAACTGTAGATTCATAATTTCTGTACCGTATGTAGATTCATAATTTAAATACAATAGATTCATAATTTATATACAGTGGATTCATAATTTCTATATTGCAGATTCATAATATATGTACTGTAGATTCATAATTCTATACTGCATAGTTATCAAATTATGAACATATAATTCTGTGATTTGTGAATACAGAGTTCAACAATTGGGAATATCGAAAATTATGAAATATAGCTCTATAATTATGAACATATATTTATAAAATTATGAATATATAGCTCTATCACATGTTCACAAACTTAATAGTGTAGATTCATAATTTCTATACTGTAGATTCATAATTTATACACTGTAGATTCATATTGAAGACGAAATAATGCGATTGCGAAGAGAAAAACGACGTTAACGACAAGTGAAAAATAATTTTTTTGTAATTAGAAAAATTAAGAATCTACAGTATAGAAATTATGAATCTGGAATCAAGGTGGGCACGTTTCCACGGCATAATTTTCCCTTTTCAGTATATATATATATATATATATATATATATATATATATATATATATATATATATATATATATATATATATATATATATATATATATATATATTTATTTATTTATTTATTTATACACACACATACTAAATATTAAAATCTTAAAAATTTTAAAAAATTTTAATTTTTAAACAGGAAAAACTTTAATATTATTTAGGTTAAATTATTTGAATATAGAATGAAATAATATTTTTTTGAAGTTCGGTCATTCGCGAGCCCGCATGAGACGGATTAGAGTTGTATTTTAACCTGCGAGTCAGCTCGTAAAAAAAAAAAAAAAGTATGCAACGAGACAGGTTGACACGCATTGACACCCCTACACACAAATATGCACATATAAGCACAACACTACTACAAAAACATGAATTTACCATCACCTTTTTAAAAATGCCTACTAACAAAAATTTTGAAACAGGCAACAGGCAACATCTGAGTATGTCTAAAAGTAGATTGAAATAAAAATTATTTTCCCGCTCATTTGAATAAAAAATATTAAAATATTTTTGACGAGCCGATTCATTTTAAAGTACGTTGAATTTCAACAATAATATTACGGAGTACATTTTATATTATTTATTTTTTGATTTTCTAACGTCATCACTGACATATTTCTTTACCATAAGTCCCGGTTTGACAGCTTTCTAAAATAAGAGAGTAAGGGGTATTTTTGTCCATCAACATTCCGAAACCCTAATTTTTCGTGTATATATAGCCTAGGCGTAGACAATATAACCCCCAGCGGCTCATAATAAGCTCATTGCTGCCGAAAAACAAACGGCAATTGAGGAGCCGCCGTCCGAACAGCCGCAAGTGCTGTTCCGTTGAAGACCAAACGTTGTACGGCAACGTTAATTAGCCGTGCCGGCCGTCATGGTCGAAATATAATGTTCCAAAAAACTTTGCTCCATTGTCTTCTTTTCAATGATTGGCCTGGCTATCATTCTCAGACTTTAACCAGTTTTTGAGGAATTCAGAAAATCGATATATTGTTTTTGAATATATATATATATATATATATATATATATATATATATATATATATTCGAATATCATAACTTGTATTGATGTTAACTATCATTAGATAATTGCAGGGTTTTCTTTATCTTTTAGTTTCCATGGTTGAAGGTTGCTTAGGAGCAGCCAAAGGACTTATTTCTTCCATGGCCCAAGAAGCCTAATTGTCGGACATGTTTCTCAAAATTTTTTATTTGTTTTGTAATTGTAGTTAATTAACATATTGAGCATATATATATATATATATATATATATATATATATATATATATATATATATATATATAGTTGTATGAACATTAATGATTAATTCTGAATTTCATTTCATTGTTTCCAGGACTTTGATGCAAAGTTACAAGATTGCTTGGACCTGAAGGTGGAAGATCAATATCACACTACGTATTAGAAGTGATGGGGAGTTGTGGTTATGTCCTGCATGCACATGCAGGCCAGGTAACAAACTGTTGCTCTACAAATGTTATTTGATGTGATATATATATATATATATATATATATATATATATATATATATATATATTTATTTATTTATTTATTTATTTATTTATATTCACGAAGTATTTAAAAAAAAATCAACAATTTCAAACAAATGTAAAGAAATATGACATGAATTAAATGCAAACCTCCTTGACCAGCAATAAGGAGAGAAAATGCAAATAATTATACTGCTGCTATAAATTTTTGAAGATCAGACTGGTTTAATTAACATTTTCTATGAAAAATATAAACAAGTTTAGAAAGACAATGAAAAGAACTGAATTAACTATGTCCCTTGGTAAATGTGGTAAAAAAAAATTTAAAATTTTAAAATTTTCATCCACTTTTTAAATGTAGTTTGAAACACGTGATTTTTCTAATGGAACATAAAACACGTAACAACTAAGAGTGACATGTATAGCTTGTGAATAGTTCCATATATGTTATGGGCAGGACAAAAATTATTATGATTTATAATTCTTAAAATCATATTTTTATTTAATTGGATGTATTTTAATACAATTTTCATTATAATATATAATATAATATGATGATTATATTAATAATAAATATTTAAAATTATGTTTGTATCAAACTATCCATATACATATTTGATACACACATAGTTAAATATTTATTATTAATTTAATCATTATATTATATACTATATTTATATGATGATATAAACGAAGATTATTGTTAAAATACATTCAATTAATTACAAATTTTATATTTAATTTTTATCTATTTTGGTGGTCAATTTTTTCTGGTTACCAAATATTATAAATCAAAGATATGGTTTTAATTAATGGTGTTTCTAAATTGGTTGGCGTTTAAGCAAATATGGAAATGTTTTAATGCTATTTCTAAATGTGAAAAGTTTATTTAATTCTTTGCATTAATGATAGTGTATGATTTGTATCTTAGGAAACTTAATCGATTTTTACACATTTTCATAATGGTTTAAATGTCGACCAATTTAAAAATATCATTAAAATGTGGTTGATAAATTTTGTTCGACTACCAAATGGTGAGAAATTATATATTTTTCTTAATGTTTGAAAATTTTTAACCATCTTTTAGATGTGGTAAAAAAATTTAAAAATTTAAAAATTTTCATCCACTTTTTAAATATAGTCCAAAACATATGTTTTTTTTAATATACCATAATACACGTAACAACTAAGAGTGACCTGTATAGTTTGTGAATATGTGCAAGACAAAAATTATTATGCTCTATAATTCTTGAAATTGTAATTTTATTTAATTGGATGTATTTTAATAACAATTTTCTTTTATAATATATAATAAATATAATATGATGATTATATTAACTATTAATATTTAACTATGTTGGTATCAAACTATCCATATACATATTTGATACACACACATATATAGTTAAATAGTTATTATTAATAACCTTTTTATTATATACTATATTTGTAATTGTATGATAATATACACGGGAATTGTTGTTAAAATACATTCAATTAATTATAAATTTTATATTTAATTTTTATTCATTTTGGTGGTCAATTTTTTTTTTTTTTTTTGTAGCAAATATTATATATAAATCAAGGATATGGTTTTGATGGTGTTTCTAAATTGGTCGGCGTTTAAGTAATTATAGAAATACTTTAATGGTGTTTCTAAAGTGGTCGGCTTTAAACATATTATATAAATATTTTAATATTTTTAAATTAATCGTCGTTTAAGCTATTATGAAAATGTTTTAATGATATTTAATTTTTATCCATTTTGGTTGTTAATTTTTTTATTTTTTATTTTTTATTTTTTTGCATTAATGATGTTTCTAAATTTGAAAATCGATTTAATTCTTTGCATTAATGATAGTGTATTATTTTGTATCGTACGAATCTTAATTGATTTCTACAATTAGAAATATCGTTAAAATATTTCTATAATTGCTTAAATGTCGGCTAATTTAGAAATATTATTAAAACCATATCCTTGATTAATAATATTTGGTAAGCAAAAAAAAAAAAATTTTGACTACCAAAATGGTAAAAATCAAATATCATTAAAACATTTCCATATTTGCTTAAACAACGATTAATTTAGAAATATTATTAAAATATTTCTATACTAGGTTAAACGTCGACCCCCTATAAATATACGACAAAAGTTTTAGAAAATGTAACTAAACCAGTCTGATCTGCAGAGGTTTATATAACAATATAATTAATTGCATTTCCTCCACCGGAAAAGTTTTCCGATCATCATCACCATGCGAGCTGCGATGAAAAAACGCATGATTGAGAGGAGGACAGAAGCGTTTTTCAAGAAAGCGAAGGAGCTTTCTGTTCTATGTGGGTCGGAGATTGGAATTGCTATCGTTAGTCCGACGATGGAGAGGGGTGAGATTGTTTGGCCGACGGTGGAGGCGGCGACGAAGATGTTCTTGGCGTTTATGGAGGTTCCGGAGGACGAGAGGATGAAGAGAATGGTGTTTCATGAGGAGTATATGAGGAGTAGGGTTAATGAGGCGATTGGGAAGATGAGGAGGATGGAGGAGGAAGTGGAGAGGAAGGAGATGAATGTGCTGATGACGGAGGTGATCGCCGGGAGAAAAAGCTTGATGGAGATGGATGCCAGGCAGCTTGAGGGTTTGTATGCGTTGGCTGATGACAAGATGGCGGAGCTGGAGAAGAGGAAGCAGGATTTGCTGGGGTTGGCGCAGAATAACAGCGCTGCGGCGGCGGCTAGGGCTCCCCACCGCCGCCGTCGAAACCGTCGTGACAGGAATCATCACCGCGCTGCTGCACCGGATGCCGTCGTTTCCGACGGACTAGATGGTGGCGGTTCTTACTACGTCCCTCAGCCACCAGCCCCGCATTTTGATTCACGGTGGACGACGACTCCGCCAGCACCGGCGGGACAATTGCTCCCAAATGTCGACCCTGCAACATGGTTCATCCCGAACATGGTGGCTCCGCCGCCGCCGCCGCTGCAAGGCGGCGGCTTCGGTGGTGAGGGGAGCTATCAGCCACAGATGCTTTTCCCTGCTGCTGGTGCTGGTGGCGGCTCATTGCCAACTAACAATGGCGGCGGCGCCAGTAATTATGCATTATCGGCTTATCAAGTTCCTGCTGGTTTGAATCAAGATTGGCTCTTCAATTTCTTCCCGTCATCTTTCTAAATCCAGTCATCGTGTTCATCTTTATCTGCAATTGTTGGCGGGCGGGCTTGCAGTTAATTTAAGTCATGTTTTTTAAATTTGTTTGAAATATGTTGTCGTTTTGTGTGTTGTTTCTGTTATCAGTATGTCGTAGTGTTGTCTTGTTATGTTTTTATTTATGATTCAATCCAGTGTTTTTTAATTTCCTTCTTTTGATGGGTATGCATGTATTCTATTTAAGTTATATTAATATAATTTATTTCCGCCTTAATTATAATTGCATTTATTACTTTCCCCAATTGTACTTGAAGCAATTATTTTTACTTGCAAATAATTCGTTAACAATTTATGATTCCATAAAAAACTCTAAAGATACTTTCCCATTTTTTTTTTAACCAAGCAAACAAAATTAACCCAAGCTTTTTTTTTTTTTTTTTTTAAAAAAAAAAAAAAAAAATCCAGAAAATGATATTGTGTCTCCAACCCCTAATTGAATTTACAAATTTAGAAGAATTTATATGTAACATTTAGACTAATTGATATAATTTTATTTTATTTTTACCAATAACAAATATACAGAGTAATTGTAAATTTAACAGTGCGGGATATTTTATTCTCTATATTTGAGTACTAACTATATATGTAGTAAATATTATTTGGCAATATAAGTGAAATTAATTCTACCTACATCTACAAATTTAATAAGAACCAAATTTAATATGTGACAATTTTGAAAGGAATTTCACTTTATTTTATTTTATTTTGGAATATTATTATAAATTTGAAAAGAAATTAAGTTCAATACTATATTGGTAGATATTTTACTATATTAGTGTGTGTGTGTCTATATATATATATATATATATATATATATATATATATATATATATATATATATATATATATATATATATATTTGAAAACCATATTAGTAGATATATTACTATATGTTTTCAAAAAAAAAGATACATTACTATATTAGTTCGCTAAAAAAGAAATATTTTAGAATGATTTTTTCGTTTATTATTTGAGATGACAATATTATATATGGTAAATATTTATGTGTCGTTGATTACTTTGACGTATACTCCGTACTTAATAAGAGCCAAATTTAATATGTGACAGTTTTTGAAAGGAATTTTGCTTTTTTTTTTTTTTAAAGAAAATTATTATAAATTTAAAAAGAAATCAAGTTCAATATTATATTGGTAGATATATTACTATGTTAGTAGATATATTATTATATTAGGTCGGTAAAAAGCAAAAAATTCTAGAATGATTTTTACATTTATTATTTGAGATGATAATATTATTAGTTTTTAATTTGGACACTTTTAGTTCTTCTTATGATTTTTTATTTTTATTTTTAATAATGGCAGTTTTGTCTTTGCATATTTTTTTTTTCGGTTTCAATCGATTTAATTGGTTTAGAATTGTAGATAACCTCCGATTTTTAATAACTAGTATAAATATTGGGACATTAGAATTGAACCATCCAAAGGTTGTTGAAGTTGAAAGAACGGTTTTATTAGGCTAAAGAAATTAAAGCGTCACTCACGACGTCATTCTTGAAAATATTCTCACGGACATATCTTTAATTTAGGTTAATAATTCATTATTAATTTGACAACGATAAGAATAATAGCTCAAAATGGGGGTAAAATAAGTTTAATAATTATACTATATTTAATGAGTAGTAATTAATTGGGTCCATCCATAATTATATTATTATCGATCGAGTAATGCAAGCCGTTTTTTTTTTTTTTTTTTGGAATATTATAAATTTAAAAAGAAATTAAGTTCAATACTATATTGGTAGATATATTACTATATTCGGTCGGTAAGAAATGAAAAATTGTAGAATGATTTTTACATTTATTATTTGAGATCACAATTATAATAATATAAATATTATGTGTCTTTAATTAGTTTGACATATATGCATGAGATTGAATTTGCCAACCGATATTAAACTAATCGGATAAAATTATACTCCAAATTCAATATAATTTAATACAGAAAAAAGTGATACAAACAATTTTTTTTTTTTTAAAGTTGATGTTGTCAAAAATAAAAATTAAAAAAATGATATGCCTAATAAGTAAGGGGTGGCCAAGTGTGGGGAGCATATAATTTTTGTATTAGAAGACTCTTTTTTTTTTTTTTTTGGAATATTATAAATTTGAAAAGAAATTAAGGTAAATATTATATTGGTAGATATGCTACTATATTAGTAGATACATTACTATATTAGGTCGGTAAAAATGAAAAGTTCTAGAATTCTTTTTTACATTTACTATATTGGTAGATATGTTACTATATTAGTAGATATATTACTATATTAGGTCGGTAAAAATGAAAAGTTCCAGAATGCTTTTTACATTTATTATGTGTCGTTAATTAGTTTGACGTATATACATGAGATTGAATTTGGCAACCGATATTAAACTAATCGGATAAAATTATACTCCAAATTCAATATAATTTAATACAAAAAAAAAGTGATACAAACATTTTTTTTTTAAAGTTGATGTTGTAAAATAAAAATAAAAATGATATGCCTCATAAGTAAGGGGTGGCCAAGTGTGAGGAGCATATAATTTTTGTATTAGAAGGCATTTTTTTTTTTGAAATATTATAAATTTGAAAAGAAATTAAGTTCAATACTATATTGGTAGATATGTTACTATATTAGTAGATACATTACTATATTAGGTCAGTAAAAACGAAAAGTTCTAGAATTCTTTTTACATTTACTATATTGGTAGATATGTTACTATATTAGTAGATATATTACTATATTAGGTCGGTAAAAACGAAAAGATCCAGAATGCATTTTACATTTATTATGTGTCGTTAATTAGTTTGACATATATGCATAAGATTGAATTTTTCAACCGATATTAAACTAATCGGATAAAATTATACTCCAAATATTCAATATAATTTAATACAAAAAAAAAGTGATACAAACATTTTTTTTAAAAGTTGATGTGTCATAAAAAAAAAAAATAATAATAATGATATGCCTCATAAAGGGGTGGCCGAGTGTGAGGAGCATATAATTCTTGTATTAGAAGGTCACGAGTAATGCAAGACATTTTTTTTTTTTTTTGGAATATTATAAATTTGAAAAGAAATTAAGTTCAATACTATATTAGTAGATATGTTACTATATTAGTAGATATATTACTATATTAGATCGGTAAAAACGAAAAGTTTTAGAATTGCTTTTTACATTTACTATATTGATAGATATGTTACTATATTAGTAGATATATTACTATATTAGGTCGGTAAAAAACGAAAAGTTCTAGAATGTTTTTTACATTTATTATGTGACATTAATTAGTTTGACGTATATGCATGAGATTGAATTTGTCAACCGATATTAAACTAATCGGATAAAATTTATACTCCAAATATTCAATATAATTTAATACAAAAAAAAGTGATACAAACATTTTTTTTATGTTGATGTGCCGTCAAATAATAATAATAATAATAATAATAATAATAATATGCCTCATAAGGGGTGGCCGATTGTGAGGAGCATATAATTCTTGTATTAGAAGGTCACGAGTTTAATTATTGCCTATATTTTCTTGGCCGAATCCGTCACACATAATTTGTCTATTAGACACAACATACACTATTAGACACTGACAATGGATTTCCTTCAACATAAAAAATAAAAATAAAAATAAGAAGGCGATGATATCATTAATATAATATTGTTGTTATCATGCCATCAATATATGAATGCAAAAATAAGTACATTAAAATTTGTTGTACAAAATTTCATTTGTGAGGTTAGTCGAGCCTCAGTGTGGGCGATATTGACTCTTTAATTTCTGCTTTAATAAATTTAGAAAGTAGTTATAAACAGATACTGCATTGTAACAGAGACAGTACTATTAAAAAAAAAAAACAAGTTTTATTAAAATTTTACTATATAATTCTTATAATTAAATTATGATTGACAATGATAACATCCTTATAGCTTTATCACTATAAGAAATCTTACATTTATTGACAAAAAATTTAAAGGTGTTATAAAAATGCCACTAAATATAATATTTCATAGCATTATATTTAACATCACCATTATTCAGATTAATATAAGTGATTCAAACTTTTCTAACATTTAATGACGAAATTTAGTTCATTTGATCACTAAATTTGTAGCATTGGTGATGTCATATACTTGTATAGTATGCATTACTAACTACTTTTGTTCTGTAATAGATTTTTAAAATATGACGTTATTATATTCAAAGTATATATATATATATATATATATATTAGCCTTTTATAACATAAAACTAAGAGCTCAACCAAATAAGCTATTCAAATCATTGCTATTTTCAACATAAGTATAGATTTTATATAATATTTCATTCTATATATGTATACATATATAGACATATATATAAAGGGATGGGGTGACGCCGTGACGGGAGTGGGGGCAGCTGCCCCCACCTCCCCCACACTGGGTCCGCCCACAACATCTGAGTATGTCTAAAAGTACATTGAAATAAAAATTATTTTTTCGCTCATTTGAATAAAAAATATTAAAATACTTTTGACGAGCCGATTCATTTTAAAGTACGTTGAATTCCAAATTTCCAACAATAATATTACGGAGTACATTTTATATTAGTTATTTTTTGATTTTCTAACGTCATCACTGACATATTTCTTTACCATAGATCCCGGTTTAACGGTTGTCTAAAATAAAAGGGTAAGGGATATTTTTGTCCATTAACATTCCAGAACCCTAGAATTTTTCGTGTATATATAGCCTAGGCG